ATCTTCTCCCATCTTCATCTGCTGATTGGCTCATTCTGCTTGCAGAGTTTCTACCCCCTCTTAGTTTTTATGTTGCACATAATTGCAGCTTGCTGAGACTCATCTAGGTCTCTTGGAAGCCAATCTATTTCACAGCATCCTCAGCTTCCACACTTGTGGTTGATTTTCCAGTCTCCGGTTCCCAATTCCAAATTCCTGAAAACGAGGAATCTGGCTCAGATCAACTTTTCAACCCAGGCCACACAGGTCAAAGTTCGCTGGACAGCATGGGGATGGCTCACTTTTGCATCAGGTGCTCACTCCCACCCAAGTAAACACCCTACAGGTACTTCCTAAGTGACTTCCTCCTCCCCCTCCATGAGGCTTCTGAGGATAATTGACCTCTTCCTAGAGTGTCCTTATTTATTGCTGTGTAACAAGCTACTCCAAATTTTAGTGCCTAAAACAACGACAATTTATTTTTTCATGATTCTGTGGATTTGCTGGGCTCAGCTGGGAGGTTTTCCTGCTTCATGGCTGGGGTCACTCATCCAGCAGCATCCCACTGGAGCTGAGCTGGGGCTGGAACAGCCAAGATGGCCGCATTCATATGTCTGGCGATTGATGCCGACTGTGGCAGGGGAAACTACTGTTCTCTGCTTGCTACTTTTCCTCCAGGGCCACTCTGCCTCACAGTGTGGACTTTCCAGCAAGTTGCTTTACCTAGTAGCTGGCCTCCAAGAGGGCAAAAATGGAATCTGCAATGACTCTTAAGGCTTAAGCTTGGAAACTTTATAACATCACTTCTACAGCCAGACAGTGGGTCAACTCAGATTCAACTCTGCCTCTGGATGGAAGAAGTGTCAAAGTCACATTGCCAAAGGGCAGGCAGGATGGGAGAGAGTTTGGGGTCATCTAAGGAAACAATCTACTAAGCCTTGAGAAAAACAAGTGGAAATATACTCCCCCAATCCTAAAACTTTTTATTGTCTGTCCAGATTCCTTCATTTGTACCCCCAACAAGGCTGACACCAGGCTAAGCCAATATTTTCTTCTGCTGCTCCCACCCACCTGTGCACACTTCTAGGCTCACACAGAGATGCCCCTTCTCTGTTTCCTGGCCCATGCCTTGGGGTGGGTGGCATTAGTGTCTGCATTACGAGCTCTTCCTCCAAGGGTTGGGGGGGGCAATGCCCTGAAACTTTAGGATGATGGTCCAAAAGTCTTTGATTTTGAGTCTCCTCTTCTACCCTCCCTCCCTCCAGCCACTTCGCAGCCTGTAACTAATCATCCCAAGGTTGGCTGGTGGGACCTAGGAGTGCGCCCCCCCTGCTGGCTATCGAGGGCCCAGCAAGAACTCGGGTCTGGAGAGAGAATTCCTGGGAGTCTCTCAGGTCTCGGTCCCCTGCTAAGCACAGGAGAGCCTAGTCTCCACACGGACTTGGAGAGCCCTTCTGCCTTTGTAGGAGAGCTGCCAGCCTGGGCCCGGCTAGAAGTGGGCTCCTGCTGGTAGACGGAGCTGTCCATCCACCTCCTCCTTCCTCTCCGCGGAATGGACTAGGGTTTGAGGGAAGGGGACGCCGCTCAGGGCCCCAGGGTTAGCTGGGGGCGGGGCGCAGCTAGTTTTTCATTTTCTCTTTGAGATTCACCATCCTGGAAGAAAAGTTGTTAGACCTGCCCTCTCCTCCCAATCCCGAATCTGCAGCAGACCGCAAGCCCCGCTTCAGGCGCCCTCCACCTGAGAGCCAGAGAGGCCAGCCCCCACCCCCAGCCCATTCACTACGGATGGGGCGGGCGGGGAAGGAGAGCTCAGCTGTCCTCCGCCACACGTACAGCAGAAACACTCGGGCGGCTTTGGCACCCCCGCCCCACCCCGCCCTCCCGCGGGCTCGCACGGCCACTCTCCCACACTCCCGGCCGCTGCCCGCCCCCCTCTCGCGCCCGGGACGCGCCTCGCTCCCGCAGCCCAGGCCTGCGAGCTCCGCGTCTCCGCCGTCGCCGGCTCCGGCCCGGCCGGCTCACAGCCGGAGCATGGACGCTGGAGAGCCCCGGGAGCCCCGCGAGCCCGGCCCGGGGGCAGAGACCGCCGCGGCCCCGCGCTGGGAGGAAGCCAAGACTTTCTACGACAACCTCACGCCCAAGAAGAAACCCAAATCGGTAAACACAGGGCACGGGTGTGGAGGGAGGGAAGGGGAAAGGTCACCGGGGGAGGGGTCGTAAGCCCCCTGGAGAGGGACCCGTGGCGCCCCTCCGGGCGAGGACGCAGCTCCTCAGCACCAGAAAGCACTAGGCCGTTGGCGCGGGCTCGGGTTTATTTTGGGAGCCCTGCTCTGTTTTTGCCCGGGGCTCGGGTTCCACGCCAGGATCCCCCTCCCCCATGCTGCCATCGGGGCCCAGCTCGAGGTCCCGGGGCTCAGCACCTCTCGGTGCAGGCTGCCCGGGGCGCACCGGCAGCACTTGTTGGCAAAGCGGGTCAGTGGCGCCTGCGGAAGCGACGCGGGCCCCAGTAACCGGACTCGGAACACGGCTCCTTGCTGTGCTCTGCGGTTTCTGCCATCTGGGTACAGAGCTTCCCACTCGAAACTATGCGTTTGCGTTTGGGGTCTGGCTCAGGGCCCTGAGCCCTGGGCTGGGGCGCTGTGCTCCCCGAGTCCTAAGGCTGCGCTCAGGGTTCTGAGTCCCTGGTTCTGGGCTCCCAACGCTAGACTCTGCGCCCCAGCTCCGGGCTGTGCTCTCCTCGCAGTGGGCATTAACATCCCTGCTACTCCCGTGGTGGTCTCAGCCCTCCAGGACTCACGCAGAGGAGAAAGGTCCTCTTCCCACCCGATAAGTTCTTGATGCCCAGGTTGGCCCCTTGGCCTTGCTCACTCCCACTTCCCAGATCTCAGGGCTTTCGGAGGGGACTGAGAATAGAGGCTGGCTCAGAATATCCTTCAAAGAGCTCCTGCATGGCCTTAAAGTGTCCTGCTGCTTCCCTCCAAAGACCCTACCCCAGGAGGTCCACCTGTCAACAGTCATTTCCTGCAGAACCGCTGGGCCCCTTCAGCGACGGGGACTGAGAGATGAGTTAGACCAAGTCCCTGCCTCAGGAGCTCACACTGCACTGAAGGAGACCCCGCAGGTGGTGAGTGCTCAGGTGAAAGACCCCACAAGTGGAAGCAGAGACTGTCCACTAACTTAGACTTTGTAGAGGTGGCCTTTGAGCTGATCTTAAAGCCTGAGTAGGTGGTTTTTCTCATGCAGAGAGAGAAACAGGATGGGTAAAAGGCACGGAGATGGCAACTGAGTGGGAGAATGCAGGATCTTTGGGAGAAGAGCTGGAGGGCCAGAGACCCACCGAAGGCCTTGAGTGCCATGTTAAGGAGCCTGGACCTTATTCAGTGAGATTAGGTGTTTTCACCAAACTAGGTTCCATGGCCCAGCCAGAGTGGCTCAGTGGTTTGAGTGCCGTCCCATGGACTAAGAGGTCCTGGTTTGATTCCTGGTCAGGGTACATGCCTGGGTTGTGGCTGTGCACAGATCAATGTTTCTCTCTCAAATTGCTGTTTCTAGCTCTCTCTCTAAAAAAAAATCAATAAAAACATATTTTTAAAAAACCAACTAGGTTCCATGGACCCCCATGTTTCAGGGAGTCTGCGCACTTGTGAATCCAATTAATTTTCTTTTTTCTTCAAAGTATGTTTTAAACAATTATAAATGGCCCAGTGCCTTGGCTGGTTTGGCTCAGCGGTTAGAGCGTCAGCCTGCTGTACAGAGAGACCCGGGTTCGGTTCCCACTAAGGGCATGAACCTCCGTTGCAGTTTGTCCCTGGCCCTGGTTGGGTTGTGCGGGTGGCAGCCACTAGATGTGTACCTCTCTCTCTCTCTCTCCCTCCCACTTTATCTGAACAAAAAATGGAAAAATGTCCTCTGGTGAGGATAAAAAAAAAGAGAGAGAAAAAAAATGGCCCTGTGTGGCTCATTGGTGAGCATTGACCAATACACCAAGAGGTTGCCGGATTGATTTCTGGTCAGGGCACATGCCCAGGTGGTGGGCCCAATCCTCAGTGGGGGGATGTGGCCAGTCAATGTTCTCTCTCATTGATGTTTCTATCTCTCTCTCTCTCTAAAGCCAATAAAGAAAAAAAAGTAAAGATAGTGACTTTCTCGCTAAAAAAAAAGTATAGCCCTGGCCGGTTTGGCTCAGTGGTTAGAGCGTCAGCCGGTGAACCCGAGTCCTGGGTTCAGTTCCCACTAAGGGCACATACCTTGGTTGCAGTTCCTCCCCAGCCCGATTGGGGTCGTGTGGATGGCGACCATTTGATGTCTTTCACATCGATGTTTCTCTTTCTCTTCTTCCCTCTCTCCCTTCCGCTCTATCTGAAGATAAATGCAAAAATGTCCTCAGGTGAGGATTTAAAAAAAGGTATAATAAAACTCAACTCACTCAAATGTGCTGTGTGGATGTTTTAGCACCTTGGAGACCACCAACATATTGATTTATGCTGCAGGTTGATGATGATAATGATGATGATGATGATTATCAAACTTCAGAATAAAGCTTTTCCTGTGATCTGTGTAATAGAAGAGTGTCTTGAGATTGCTGACAATTATTGCTGAGTCTCTTGAGGCTTGTAGTTTAAAACAAAATCAGACATTTGCAACCACTTACTGGTGTGAATCAGGGCTTTCTCAATACTGTGCAAAACCAACCACTGCAGAAACAAAGTGACTAGATGATGACGCTTAAGTCTTTACTGGCATCCTAACTCCCAGTTTCAAATTTCTTATCACCCAAATAACTGTGTTGTTTTCATTGGTTGAGGTCATAATAAGTACTTTGTTTGTGTAATGCATTTGAATTTGTAAAATAAATTTATATCAATACAATATGGTAATATCTGGTTTACATATTGGGGTTTCCCCCAAGAGTTTATTTGACTAAAAGATCAACTTATTTTTTCAGAAAACATGAAAACCATTATGGAGCTATGAGGGATTTTTCAGCAAGGAATTGACTTGGTTCCATTTTCATTTTAGAAAGGTAACCCAGGGCAGAGTGGTGGATAGATTGCAGAGGGTGCATCTGGCAGCCGGCAGACTAGTGAGGAGGCGGGTCCCTGTCTGAGGAGCAAGCTGTCATGGCCTGGGGAAGGACGTTGTGGACTAGGATGGTGAGTGGAGCTCACCGATTCATTTCCTCCCCAAGCACCAAGTAGCCCATGAACTCAGGCCCAGCTGTCAGTCATGACCTCTCTGTCAGCCCCTGACCCTCACAGTTCTCTGAGACACAAGGCGCTTGGTGGCTTCCTGGCCCCTCCTCCCACAGGCTATTTTGGGGGCTTTAGGCCTCATGGGCCCCATCAGGGCCTGGCCAGAGCTTATTCTCATTCCCAGGACCCTGAGTGGAATATGTAAGCCCTGAGATCCACAGGAGGTCCTCACCTCATGGGTGACAGGACTTCTTGAGTGCAGACCTCTCTCTCTCTCTCTCCTCCAGCAGCCCTGCTCCCTCTAAGTCCTTCTAGAAATAACTGCTTTTGGCCATGTTCCTATCTTGGTCCCAACAGGCAGAATCATATCAGCCTAAATGAGAGCTCCTCAGACAGGCTGGGCTACCCTCCATTGTCTCCCCACCCCATGCCCAGCCCCCAAGCCAGAGAGGGACACCAGCCTGGCCCCAAGCCCGGGTGGAAGGTAGAGAGAGATGGCAGGACCCTGGCTCCCTGGAGGCCAGTGTTCTCAGGCTGAGTTCCTGGCCTAGGGTAAGGGTCTTTTTGACCTAGTTCCCACTCTGAAATCTGGACTTCTTTCTGATTTCTAGAGGAACTGTCCCCAGGTTCACCTGACAACACATGGCAGGGTGGCCGCCTCCTGCAGCTAGGTTCAGGAGGGTCTCTAAGCGCTTGCTCCTCCCCAACTCAGGCCAGTCCCTTTCACCTGTTCCTTCAGCTCCACCTGGAGCCCGGCTGGGCCGCTCATCTCCTCCAGCCGGGGTCCGCATTTCCCACAGGAACGCTGGCCCTCTAGACCCTTCGACTCCACCTCACTTGTACAGTGTCAGCAGGCTGAGCAGAGGCACGGCCCTGCCCGTGGGACCTCCACTGTGAGGGTAAAGAGAGCCCTGCCCTTAGACTCCCCGGCGTGAGGGCACTGTGCCTCACCATTTCTTCCAAATCCGGAAAGGAAGCACTGTGTTGGGGAGTATCCCAGGGAAGTGTGTGAAGTAGCAGGGGTCAGGTCTTCTGGGAATCATTGAGGAGGGGCATATTGGGGGGGGGGGGCTGTGTGGACAGAGGCCAGGCTAGAGGCCAGAGACCTGGGATCTTATCCTGGCTCTGTCTTGTTTGCCATGTGACCTCGAGTCATTTTCTGTCCCTCTGAGCCTCTATCCCCATCTTTAAAAGAAGGAAATGAGACCCCTAGGGTCAAGGCAGCTGGATAGTTTTCTTGCAGTGGCTCAAGGTGGGCTGGGATGGGGTCTGGACAGGTCAGCCAGAGGGGATCCAGAACATGGCAGTCTGGCAGGGACTGTGGGACAGAAAGTGAAGAGTGAGACCTTGGCTGGCTGCCTGGGCTGGAGTGGTGGCTTGGGAACCTGCCTGAAGGGGCTTGGAGGGCAGCTGATTCTCTGTCCTTGAAGGGAGGATGGGCCCCGTCCCTAGGGCAGTAAGCCCAGGGGCGGGACAAGCTCAGTCCCTGTCCTGAAGGCCAGGAGGCTTCCTGGGTTTATGAGAGTGGGTTTCCCTACTTCCTCAACCCCACCTTACCATCCCTGGCCATCCCTCTATCATTCTTTTTCTCTAGGTCTTTTAACTTTACCTTCTTTCCATGAAGGCTCACAGCTTCTGGGGGCGTTGGGCATACCCAGTCTGTGGACACACAGGTACATGGTGGTGGCCAGCAACTGGCCACAGAGGAAAGGGCGCGTGTCCTGCCGCTGCCCTAGGCTGGCCCGCTGGCCACACACAGCGCCTTGGTTGGAGTAAAAGTCAAGTGCAAACTGAGACTGGCCTCACGAGCTTAAGGAACTCTTTGGTCTTCCATTCGTGTTCTGAAGTTTTAAAGCCTCACTAGCCACTTGCTAGTCACAGCTACTTAAATTCAAATTGATTAAAATGAAATACAATTGCCCTGGCCAGTGTTTCTCAGTGGTTAGAATGTCAGCTTGTGCACCGAAGGGTCTCGGGTGCGATTCCCAGTCAAGGGCATGTACCTGGGTTGCAGGTTCCATCCCCAGCCCCAGCTGGGGAACATGCAGGAGGCAACCAATCGATGTCTCTCTCTCTCTTCCCCCTTCCTCCCTCCCACCCTCTCTAAAAATCAGTGGAAAAAATATCCTCGGGTGAGGATTAATAACAACAACAACAACAAATTAAATACAATTAAAAATTCCGTTTCTCAGTCTCCCTAGCCACATTTCCAGTTACTCCGTAGCCACACAGACAGCTCTGGACATTTCTATTATTACAGAACGTTCTATTGGACAGTGTTCTTCTAAACGACGGCACGCATCTCTGCCTTGGGGACAGATCATAAACTCTATGGGTCAGGGATCACACCTGTCTTGTTTCCTGCCATGTCCCCAGCACAGTGCCTGTCACATGGTAATCACTCAATGTTGTCAACTGATTGGAACCAGGCTTGACTCCAGAGAGAAGCAGCGGGGCCAGTGCGTGGCCCACAGGGCTATCAGGAGCAGGCCCAAAGGCGGGATCCCTTTGAGTCCCTAACTTGAGCCCCTCATCTGTAAAGGAACCCACATCCTGACCCTCCCAAGGGATTATCAAGGGCCCACCTGCTGCTGTGATGGCGCACCCCTGTCTCAGTTCTCCTGGGGCCTGAGAGGGCCCTCTGCAATCTAGCACCTTCCTCCTCTTCTGGACTCACACCCCCAGGCCCTGGGCTCCGCTCACCTTTGTGGATGACTGTGTATGTGCATATCTCCTCATGCCTTCCTCCATCCTGCTCCTCCTCTCCCATGACTTCTGAGCCTGTCATCAAGAGTTTGCTTTCACCTGTGTTCTGTCTCTCATTTCAGTCCTGTTTGCATCTCGTTTACCTGACTTTCTCCCCTACCAGCCTGTGAGCTCTGAGGACAGCAGCCAAGTCTCTACCAGGACTACCCCCAGGCAGAGCCCAGGGCCTGGCACGAAGAACTAGTAAATGTTTGCCAAATTTGCATCAACTAAAAAGAATACTCTTTGAGTACCTACTACGTATCAAGCAATCTGAACAGATTAGGGCACTGCACTAAAGTTTCTCATTCATGTTAAATTTGTCAGGGCAAATACTGTTTCTCATTGAACTATGTTAGTTAAAAGTTCAGCGGCATTAAAAATGTACTGAACACCTACTATGTGCTAGATACACTTCTTTTTTTTTTTTTCCTCACCCGAGGACATTTTTCCATTTTTTGTTCAGGTAGAGTGGGAGGGAGAGAGAGGAACAGAGAGAGAGAGAGAAACATCGATGTGAAAGGAACACATCGAGTGGCTGCCACCTGCACAACCGACCAGGGCTGGGGACAAACTGCAACCGAGGTACGTGCCCTTAGCGGGAACCGAACCCGGCTCTCTCAGGACCGCAGGCTGACGCTCTAACCGCTGAACCAAACCGGCCAGGGCTAGATACACTTCTAAGCACTCGAGATACAATCAATGAACAAGATAGACATAGTTCCAGCTCTCTCAGAACTTAGGCCTGGTCCCTGCTTTCTCTCTGGAACTCTGTCTAGAAATATAAATAATTAACTAAGCAATTGTAGTTTAGTGTTAAATTTTACTAAAGGAAATAGGAAAGAAATAGCAAACCCGTGACTAGGAGCAAAGGAAGGCTTCCTAGAGGTGACATGTAGTTTGAGACCCAACAGTTGTGTGGAAGTTCGCTGGATAAAGAGTCAGGGAAAGAGTAGATCAGGAAGAGGAACAGCATGTGCAAAGGCTCAGAGAAAGAATGGAAGGTGTACTCACACATGAGAAAAGTCAGCTTGGGCAAACGGGGATCACCACGGGAAGGTGAGAGTGGAATGCAAGGTAGGGGGTCTGTTGTGAAGAGCTTCCTACTGCATACTAAAGACTACCAACTGGAGCCTGAGAAGAGTGGGAACCACTGAAGGGGAGGGGGACATGATCAGATCTGAACTTGAGAAAATCCCATGACAACATGGATGACAGACTGGAGGAGATGAGAGATGTTGGTGGACTGGACTGTGGGAGGGAAGACAGAAGAAGTGGATGGAGTCTAGTGGAGCTGACAGGTGTTGGTGACTGATTGGTGGGGGAGGGGAGTTGGGGAAGAGGGAAGCCTTGTATTGACTTTCTGAATTCTGGTTTAGATGACGAGTGCATGGTGGTGCTGAGCAGTGAGATGAGGAAGGAGGGAGCCCAGGTTTAGGGGTGGAGAGAGTGGAGGGAATTTAGCCTTGGGCAGGCTGAGTTTGAGCGTCTGTTAGTCAACTGGGATAGTTAGATACATGAGTCTGAAGCTGGAGAAAGATCTGGACTGGAGATCAATTTTCTTATATAATTGTCATGTTTCTAAGAACCATTTCCTCCTAGATGAGCATGTAGCTCTCATTTTATAGTGGAAACCGTCTGGAGACCATCTTGAACATTGGCCATACTCTGGTTCCACATAGTGTATTCATTTTTCTGCTGTGTCAAGATGGCTGGCCAGAGTGCAAACTCCCCGAGGGCATGTCCCTGCTTCTTGGTGGGCAGCATCATCTCCCTCAGTCCCTGCCCAAGACTAAGCTTCCTAGGGCAGAGGCTGGGCCTGGGTCTTCCCCCTGCCCTCACACCCAGAGGGGCTGGCATCTGAGACCCACCTCAGGGGAGTGTGAGTGATGGCCCTTCTCCTGCACCTCTGCAGCCCAAGCCCGAGAATGCGGTCACCATCGCTGTGTCCTCCCGGGCTTTGTTCCGCATGGACGAGGAGCAGCGGATCTACATGGAGCAGGGCGTGGAGGAGTACGTGCGCTACCAACTGGAGCATGAGAATGAACCGTTCAGCCCGGGGCCGGCCTTCCCCTTCGTGAAGGTGAGGAGCAGTCTGCCACTAGCCATATAGTGCCTTTGTGAGGGTTAGAAAAAAGCACTTTCCATGGGTGTTTGAATGAGGAAATAGGACTCTCTGAGAAGATGCTATACCACAGAGCTATGGCTTGGCTAGGGACAGAGCCATTGTGGGAAGAAGCGGCCACCCCTGGACTAATGCAGCCCCGCACCAGGTGACCAACCAGCTTGGTGAGTGGAACACGGGCTGGATTTCAGGCTCTGCTCATGCTTTCCGTGAGGCAGCCCTAGCAATAGTCAGCGATGGCAGGGATTAGGAGGAGAAAGTCCGTGTCCACTGATCTCGCCGGAATTCTGGCCCCTGACCTCCCCTTTCCTCTCCCATTGGATTCCAGCTCACCTGTCCTCCCCATTCCTGGCTACCAACTCCAGGTATTCATCCTGGGGGTCTGAGCTAGAGGGCCCCCTCTCCCATCCAGGCTCTGGAGGCTGTGAACAGGCGGCTTCGGGAACTGTACCCTGACAGTGAGGACATCTTTGACATCGTCCTTGTAACCAACAACCACGCTCAAGTGGGTGTCCGTCTCATCAACAGCATCAATCACTATGGTGAGCATGAGGAGTTTGGCCATGGGACACCCCTACCAGATACCTGGAGATGGGGCCACACCTCTGCAGGGTAAGGGTGTACCAACTACGACCCCAAACCCAGTGGTGTGCTGGTAAACTGGCCCTTAAAAACAAAATAAAAACAATGGTAGTATTGTCATTTTCAGGTGCACACATTCCCATCATGACTGATTTCAAGCTGCCAGCAGTTGAATAATCTAAGTGACTCAAGAAAAAAATCCCAGGATGTTTAACATTCAGTTCTTGCAAGCCAGTATAAGCCAGCTCCAGCACAGCACCGCACAGGCCCTGCTCCCTGTGTGGTCTGGCAGGGCACTTGCTGCCTCCATGCCTCAGTTTCCCTATCTGCAGTGCAGTCATCAGAGTGAATGGGGCTTTGTGGCTTAATTCAAATTCTTAATTGAAAATAATAGACCCTAAAGAGCTCCTTGAAGTTGAAAAGAATATATATTTTTGTATTGGGTTAAAATTTATCTTAAAAACTTCTGATTTAGCCCTGGCTGGTCTGGCTCAGCGGTTAGAGTGTCGGCCTGCGGTCCAGAGAGTCCTGGGTTCGGTTCCCACTAAGGGCATGTACCTCGCTTGCAGTTTGTCCCCATCCCTGGTTGGGTTGTGCGGGTGGCAGCCACTCGATGTGTCCCTTTCACGTCGATGTTTCTCTCTCTCTCTCCCTCTCTCTCCTTCCCACTCTATCTGAACAAAAAATGGAAAAATGTCCTCGGGCGAGGATTAAAAAAAAACAAAAAAAAAACTTCTGATTTAGTCCGGCCGGTGTGGCTCAGTGGTTGAGCGTCAACCCATGAACCAAGAGGTCACTGGTTTGATTCCCGGTCAGGACACATGCCCAGGTTGTGGGCCCAATCCCCAGTGGGGGGCATGCAGGAGGCGGCCAATCGATGTTCTCTCTCATTGATGTTTCTATCTCTCTCCTTCTCCCTTCCTTTCTCTAAAATCAATAAAGGGAAAAAAATTTTTTCAAAACCTTCTGATTTAGTTGCTATTATTGGTGAGCATTTGGGAAAATGGGGTAAAACTTAACTTGGTATGAGCTGAGGAAGGAGGCAAAATATATTATGTTGAAAACTCTGATGAGGAAGATTCACTTTTCTCTTGGATTGGTATCTTTGTACTTCTTGTTGGTGATTGTTTTTTAATATATATATATTTTTTTAATCCTCACCCAAGGATTTTTTTTTTATCCTCACCCGAGGACATTTTTTGATATTTTGTTCAGATAGAGTGGGAGGGGGAGAAAGAGAGAGAGAGAGAGAGAGAGACATCGACGTGAAAGGGACACATCGAGTGGTTGCCACCCACACGACCCAACCAGGGCCGGGGACAAACTGCAACCGAGGTACGTGCCCTTAGCGGGAACTGAACCCGGGTCTCTCTGGACCGCAGGCTGACTCTCTAAACGCTGAGCCAAACCGGCCAGGGCCCAAGGATATTTTTACATGTATCATCGGATAGAGTGGGAAGGAGGGAGGGAGAGAGAAGGAGAGAGAGAAATATCAATGTGAGAAAGGTACATCGACTGGTTGCCTCCCGCATGACCCCGACCAGGGCCTGGGGACGGACCGCAACCGAGGTACATGCCCTTGGCTGGAATCGAACCCTTTGGTCCGTGCGATGCTCTTACAGCTGAACCATACCAGCCAGGGCTAAATTATGTTCTTTAAAAAGCTGCTTTTAGCCCTGACTGGTTTGGCTCAGCGGTTAGAGCATCAGCCTGCGGTCCCGAGAGACCCGGGTTCGGTTCCCGCTAAGGGCATGTACCTTGGTTGCAGTTTGTCCCCGGCCCTGGTTGGTCGTGCGGGTGGCAGCCACTCGATGTGTCCCTTTCACATCGATGTTTCTCTCTCTCTCTCTCCCTCCTACTCTATCTGAACAAAAAATGTCCTCGGGTGAGGATAAAAAAAAAAAAAAAAAAGCTGCTTTTAGCCCTGACTGGTTTGGCTCAGCGGTTGGAGTGTTGGCCTATAGACCAGAGAGTCCCGGGTTCGATTTCCGCTAGGGGCATGTACCAAAAAAAATAAAATAAAAGCTGCTTTTACATTTTATTTATTGATTGATTTTCGAGAGAGAGGAAGGGAGAGGGAGAAAGAGAGAGAAACATCGATGAGAGAGAACATCGATTGGCCGCCTCCTGCATGCCCCCGACTGGGGATTGGGCCCACAACCTGGGCATGTGCCCTGACTGCTAATCGAACCAGTGACCTCTTGGTGCATGGAGCGATGCTCAACCAGTGAGCCGCACTGGCCGGGCTGTATTTTTAATCTTTATTGTTGAGAGTATTACAGATGTCCTGCCGACCCCCGCCCCATTGTCTCTCTCCACCCAGTTCCCGCCCAACCCTCAAAAGAATCTTTGATTAGGTTACAGGAGTGTCTCTTAGAACCACAGGACAAGAAGCAAAATTGGGCCTATAAAAGCCTACATCTAAGAACTGGAAATCTCTCCTGGGCTCTTTCTCAATCTGTGCCCCATGAGACCTTATCTGCTTCTCTCAGCAAGTCTGTTTCTTTAATTTGTTCTTTCTTTCTCCCTCCTTCCTGAACATGACCAAATTTATAGGTTTACAAGTTCTTGTATTAAGCCACTAAGAGAGTCCAGTTGGCTTTTTTTTTCTTTATTGATTTTAGAGAGAGAGAAAAGGAGAGAGAGAGAGAGAGATAGAAACATCGATGAGAGAGAACACTGATTGGCCACCTCCTGCATAGAACCAGTGGCTGCGGGGGTTGACGCTCAACCACTGAGCCACACTGGCTGGGCCAGTTGGCATTTTATTAATCTTAATTTTAAGTTGCTGAGAGTAAGAATGATATTCAAAATATTGAACCACCTGTGATGTAGGCACTTAGTAATCAGGACAGATGGCACCTATAGTACTGGAGCCCGTCCAGAAGGTCCCCTGCTGTGCCTGGCATTACCCCTTCCATCGCAGATTGCCCTGCGTGAGTGGTAGGGTAGTGTTGAGCTAACTTAATGGGCTCAGAGCCGCAGCGGTTTACCAACCAGCAAATATTTTACAACCTGTGCCAGCATGGGTACTATGGGACTATCAGCCCAGGCTGCAAGAGAATCTGATTGGCCCAGCTTGGGTCAGGTGTCTGTCCCTATCCAATCAGATATGGCCAAGAGGGCCACTCATGGCCAGGGACCCACCTTGTGTAGTACTGTGATTCCGACAAGAGGATGTTACTGCGAGCCAGGCAGTCACTCCAGAGATGTGATCATCCTCATTTCACGGATAAAGGATGGAATGGCTCAGAGAGGGGCACCGCTGGCCTAAAATCACTCAGAGAATCGCTCTGCTGCCTCCCCCACCACCACTCAGAACCAAGATGGTGTCTGTTAAACACAGAGGGACCACTGTGAGACCTTAAGGGTTGATCCAAGCATCATCTGGGTATTCTCTACCTCCTCCCAGACCTGTTCATCGAGAGGTTCTGCATGACAGGTGGGAATAGCCCTATCTGCTACCTCAAGGCCTATCACACCAACCTCTACTTGTCGGCTGATGCAGAAAAAGTTCAAGAAGCCATTGATGAAGGTAAGTCAAACTGGGGAGGGAGAATATGGGGAGTCTGGCAAAGGGGTCCCAGAGGTGGGAGGCCTGACCCTAAAGCTCTGAGCAGGTGGTAGAGGTTGACATGATAACTGGAAGGGAAGTACCTTTCTTCATTCGTATGACATGTCATATAAACTCAGAACAAGGCCCTGCCTACGCCACTTATTGCCCATTTATTCTACTCTCCCACCCCCTGCCCTACCATGTTAAGGATATTTTTACTCATCACCATCGCTCAGCCTTCTGTTTCCATGGAAACCATCCTTACAGCCCAGAAAGCTACTCCCTTCTAGGAATCCTCCAGGTCAGCAGGAGTTCTGATCCTGTGTGACCATGGGCAGCCTCTGCCCCTCTCTGGACCAGCAGGGAGAAGGATAAGTATCTAGTCCAGCTTGAGCAGAGAGTGGGGTCTGGGAAATGGCCAGAATTCCAGGAGCTGGGGTGAGGTTAGGAGACCCAACCACTAGTACTGACAAAAAGTGTTCCCTCCATGTGTCTCTGTCAAGGGGCAGCTCGGGTGGTAGGCATAGCCTTGGCCCTCTGACAGGGTGTGTGTTCCTACTGTACCTGGAAGAAAACAGGCGACAGGCCCCACTGCCTGAGAGGGCTCCTCAGCCTCAGCTCTGCTGGCAGGCTTATCAGCCAACAGTATATTCACTTTCCTCTTCTCCTTCATGCTGTCTCCTGCCAGACACCTGGCCTCTCCCTGATGCCTCACTCTTCTGAGCCGCTTGGGCCTCCAGGAGGCTATCTTTAACCAGGGACCAGGAGCTATTTCCCTGCACAGATGTCACACCCTGCATGGGGCCTTGGCACGGGCCTGCACGTGTGCCTCTATGTCTGCAACTCGAGCTCAGGCTAGAGAGCAGGGGTGGTCAGGGGGCAGGCCCTGCCCAGGGTGGGGGTGGTCTGGTTCATCTTGGCTCTATCATTGGAAGAGTTGAGAGGGTGCCTGGCCCGATGCCCAGGGCCTGGTCCTACTTACAACACCCTCAGGCTAACAGAGTTGCTGGAGGTTCACACTGCTTGCCTAAGCCCAGCCCCTGTGATCCCAGATTCCGAAAGAGCAGGGCTGCAGCGGCCTTTGGAGAGATGAAGAATAGGGATGGACTGAGCCGGCCGACCAGGTCTCCAGCCTCCTGGCACCGGCTCGCTCGTCCAGGGCAGCTCTTGCCTGGAGCCTGGGTTTCCCACAGGCATCCTTGACTTTCTGGAGACACCCGGGGTCAAGAGAATCTGTGCCACAGTCCAGTGCAATTAGTGCTGCCTCCTATGGGCATCCGCATGGATTCAAGGAGCCCTGAATGGCCAGGCTGCCCTGAGGAAGGCATAGCTGGGGGCCTCTGTGGCAGTAGACTGAGGGTGCCCACACCGACTCCACCCCGGGCTGCAGCCTGGGAGCTCAGCCCCGGACAGAGCCGAAATGTCCTCAGTTTTGCCTCGGCTCAGAGCAGGGGAGAGGCTTGCCGGAATCAGCAGCAGGAGAGTGAGGCCAGTGTAGGGCCTACCACCCCGGACACGCCCAATCTCGTCCGACCTCAGAGCCGAGCAGGGTTGGGCCCGCTTAGGGCTTGGACGGGAGAGTGAGGCCCAGCCAGGGTCAGGCTCCTTCCCGGCCACCCGTAGGTCTATATCAGGGGCCTGTGAGGAACCCCAGGAAGAACGTCAGCAGGCTAGGGGACCCCTTCTTCCAGCCAGGACTGACTGCATGGTCCGTACCAGCATGACCCGAATAGATAGTGAAGTACTGACATTCCTCCATACTGATTGATAACTGGCTCCTGCCGAGTCCTCTACGTTCTCCCTCTTCCCCAGACCTTCCCACAAGGCAGTAACTAAAGGAAACTCGGGTTCAAGCCAGGGCCCTCAGAGCCCTGCTCAGAGCAAAAGCTACCATCCATCCTTCTTGGCTAGGTTTTAACTATTCTGAACATTAGCCCCCATTAGCCGTGCTCGGAGTCCTGGGTGAGGCAGGAGGGGCCCGGATAGCCTGAGCTCGCCCCAGGCCTCAGGCGGCTGAGGCAGGTGTCAGGAGGCCCAGGTGCCAGGATAAGGACAGACAACATTCGCCTCTCTCTGCCCAGGGATCGCAGCGGCCACCATCTTCAGCCCCAGCAGGGACATGGCCGTGTCCCAGAGTCAGCTGCGCGTGGCCTTCGATGGGGATGCCGTGCTCTTCTCAGACGAGTCCGAGCGCATTGTCAAGGCCCACGGGCTGGACAGGTTCTTCGAGCACGAGAAGGCCCATGAGAACAAACCCTTGGCCCAGGTGCTCCACACTCTCCCCAGAACCCCTGAGTGGAGCAAGGCCGCTCCTCAGAACCTGCCCTTGGCTGGAGGTTCCAGCCCAGAACCAGACTCGGAGTTTGGCCCAGAATCCAACCAGATTTCCTCACCAAGCCTGCAGCCCTTGTCCCTCACTTGAGCCCTGGCTCCCCTGAGTGAGCTTCTGCCCCTTCATTGAGCCCATGTTCCGCTCACTGCAGTCCCATCTCCCTTGGAAGCCCCATCCTCTCTCAGAACCCCTCCCTGAAGTCCCTGCTTCTCCTTTGCAGCGAAGTCCCCATCCCTTTCTGGGGTCCCCATCCCTTCTCTAAAGTCCCCATCGCACCCCAAAAGCCTCGCCCTCTCCCTCTGAGGCCACCACCCTGTCTCTGGAACCCGCATCTCCTGTCTGAGATTCCCCTGCCCCTCTGAGTAGGCTCCCCTCCTCTCAAGCCCCCATTCCGCTCTCTGGACTGGTGCCCCTCACTGGGCCAGGGAGATCCAGGGGGTGTGGGGCCTGGAGCAGTCCCTCTGCTTTGGGCCACACCGGCCCTAACTGCCTCCTGCATCCATCCCTTGGCAAGGGGTTCAGGGACCCTCACTCACTGTCAGCTGCTCAGGAGTCTCCCTGAGGGCAGTACATGCCCTAGAGCCCGGTTGAAATTCTTTGGGTTGAAGCCGCTGGGCCTCTCCAGCCCTCTAGGGAGCTCCCACTTGTGCTTTTAACAAAAATCTAGACCGTCTCCTCGCTCCACCAGCTCAGCAGGCTGAAGTTGTGGCCCCTGAATATTCATTTCATTTCCATTCTCACAGATTCCCTCTGAAATCCTTGGGAATCGGGGCAGTGGTAGGTAGAGCCCAGAAGACCACTGCTTGGTCCAGTCACCCAGTAGGGGAGGGGTCTCCAAGACTGGAAGCCCACCGTTCCTTATTCCGCTGCTGTTGTAATTTTCTCTTCTTTTTTTCCTTTATTGATTTTAGAAACAAAGGAAAGGAGAGGAGAGGGAGAGAGAGATAGAAACATCCATGAGAGAGAACATCGACTGGCCTCCTCACACATGCCTCACACCGGGGATCAGGCCCACAACCTGGGCATGTGCCCTGACCGGGAATTGATCCGGTGACCTCTTGGTGCAAGCATTGATGCTCAACCACTGAGCCCCACCAGCCGGGCGTTGTTGTAGTTTTCTTCTTCACCACCATCTGATTCTTTAGTCACTGTCCTCATTCACCTTCATTGTTCCCGGCACTGTAGAGATTAAACCCTTTCCCTGACCCCGGAGAGCCAGAGCATGGCCGAGCAGTTGCACAGGGGTCTGTCTGTCCATGTTGTTTGCAGCTGGAACCCTTCTGCCTGGAGGGTGCCCATACCTTGGCTGCTAAATATTTCAATATGTTCCCTGCTGGTGAGCACAGAAGGTCACACTTACAGAGCTGCAGGACAGACACCCCTGTAGCCGAGGGGCACCTAGATGGACATACATAGTAACAGCTGTCCTGGTGCTTTATTCTGACACAGGCACCCCCAATTTCAGCTGCAGAGACACCCAGACTGACACCTGCAGTCCCACTGATGCCACAGTGGCCTGAGCAGGCACAGCGGAACTGAGAGATTTGGGGATCTTGAGTTTTCCCACCCCAAACATCAAGACATGAGTGCTTGCCCTGGCCGGTTTGGCTCAGCGGTTAGAGCGTCGGCCTGCGGTCCAGAGAGACCCGGGTTCAGTTCCCGCTAAGGGCATGTACCTCGGTTGTGGTTTGTCCCCGGCCCTGGTCGGTTGTGCGGGTAGCAGCCACTTGATGTGTCCCTTTCACGTCGATGTTTCTCTTTCTCTCTTTCTTCCTCCCACTCTATATGAACAAAAAATGGGGAAAAAAAAATGTCCTCGGGTGAGGATAAAAAAAAAAGACCTGAGTGCTTTAGGGAGGAGTCCAGGTGGAGAGGGGCCCAATGTTTGGGAGACGGATGAGCTTACAGTCTTCCCTTCCTTCTCATAGGGACCTTTAAAGGGCTTTCTGGAGGCTCTGGGTAGGCTGCAGAAGAAATTCTACTCCAAGGGCCTGCGGCTGGAGTGCCCAATCCGCACCTACTTGGTGACCGCACGCAGCGCAGCCAGTTCTGGGGCCCGGGCTCTCAAGACCCTGCGCAGCTGGGGCCTGGAGACAGACGAAGCCCTGTTCCTGGCGGGCGCGCCCAAGGGCCCCATGCTCGAGAAGATCCGCCCACACATCTTCTTTGATGACCAGATGTTCCATGTGGCTGGGGCTCAGGAAATGGGCACAGTGGCGGCCCACGTGCCTTACGGTGTGGCCCAGACAGTCCGGCGGAGTGTACCTGTGAAGCAGGCCCCAGCTGCACAGTAGCTGAGCCACCAGCTTCCCTGACCCATAGTGCTCCAGGCACAGCTCCCTGTCATACTGCAACACGTCGCCCAGTGGACCCTTCTAGTCCCCTACACGCTGCCTTGTTGCATGCCTGCCCTCATCCCCATCAGCGCACTAGTGGGCAATTATGCAGACTGGGCTGGCATTCTCATCAGCCCTTATTTTGGGTCAACACTGTGCCATGGTGCTGGCTAGGAAAGTAAGACCACGGCTGGATTTCCAGGGGAGGTTGAAGGGACTGGGGTTGGGAGGGTCAGAGAAGCCAGGATGCCTCCAAGGGTCTTTGGGTTGAAAACCAGCTCAGTGTAGTGCAAAGGATATTGCTTCGAGAGAGAAGAGATCTGGCCTTTAGGCTCGGTTCTGGCACTAACTGCATGACTTTGAGTAAGTCCTTCCCTTCCCTGGGCCTCAGTTTCCCCATCTTTTAGGTGGTTTTCAAACTCTTCTTTAGCTAAAGAAGCTTGGTTTTATCAGATTGCCCTTTTTGAAGGAAGCATTCTGTGCCCGGGCTGCTGGTCTACACAGCACCTTTGCACAGATTACAGAAGGACGCTGTCTCTACTGTGAATTATGAAAAGAAGGCGCTTTCTCTGGGCTGGCAGTACCCACGCCGGGGTGCACAGCTCACTTAGCAGGATATAAGTAGGATGTCAGCCCCCACTGGCTCCTCAGCCCAGAAGCCTTTGTCAACTGGGCAAAATGCACAGTTACCCACAGCAACTCTACCTATAATTTTACACAGTTGGAAACCACTGGACAAGAAGATCCATTTGCTTCCTGTGATCCTCTAATCTGAGTCAGCAGGGGTCAGCTGCCAGGCCTGGGGGGTCTGTGAAGGAATGAGGGAGTGAAGCAAGCCTGCATGCAAACTGTGGTGCAGCCAGCAGGAGGCGCTGCAGGCACTCCCTGGGGAGCCACTTTAGTGGCAGCCTGCTCACAGCTTCCTTTGCTTTTGCTTTTAGCCAAAGTTCAGTTGTTCCCGCCTGCCATCTGCTGCACCTCAACCCTCACCCCCTCAGCTATCGTATCCTGCTGTGTCACCAAGCAGCCCTGCCCGTGGGAACAAAGGCAGAGTATTGGGGTTTCCTGTGGTGGGCCCAGGGGGAGAAAGCTCAGTGGCTGAAGTGGGAGGTTGTCCAGGCTGAGCTGAGGTGGGATGAGGAGGTCTGGTCTGTGGCAGTGGCCAGTTAGAGAGGAAGGAGCTCTGAGGTACAGCCGTGAGTCCTCCACCCTTGCAGGAGCCCTGCAGCCCCTTCGTCACCACTTCCGAGATAGAATTCTCATTGCTTGATGACAGCCACCTCCTTCTCTGACCAGCCAGGTTCTCTCTGGGGGAATGGTGGGCACCAATGGCTGGTCCCTCAGGAAGACCCAGAGGTGTGAGCAGACATCTGTATGGGGGTGCTGGTTGCCCAGCTCCCAGCTGTGAGCAAGCACTTTGTGAAGAAAGCCAACAGTATAATCAAAGTGGGCAGGAGCCTGGAGGTGTGTGCAGGAGAACTGGAACACTTGTGGGGGCAGGAGAAGGGGGTAAAGGGCCATCTGGGGCCTGACCTTTGTCCTTTTGAGGACTCAGCCCAGGGTCTGAATGGGCACAGGTTCTCACCAGTGTAAGGCAGAAAGATCATCCAGGGAGGAGAAAAAAGTGAGAACGCAGAGGTGGTTCTCAAAATGAGCAACAGTTCAGGCCAGAATTGAAGTGCTTGGCTGGGTTTTTACTATCAGTGCCTAGAGGCTGATCCTGGAGAGGGAGGGCATGACTGTGCTGAGTGCCCGGGGCCAGATGCCCAGCACTGACGGCCTTACCAGGGGAAGGGCAGGTGAGGAAAATGTCTTTGCACAAGGTCATTTTCATCCAAAGCCGGGATCTTTCTGGGCAGCGGAGGAGGCCTCAGGGCCCAGGGCCTGGTTTTGAGCTCCTTCCTCTACCCATGCGCCAAGCCCAGCCAGAGACACTGTGAGACCTAAGAGGAAACGAAGGAAGTCAGAGAACTCACCCAAGTCACTTTTGATCTTGGCTGAACCAAAGAAACATCTTCTGCTCACCGTTCCCCCCCCCCCCCGGGTTAGAGTCACCCCCTTGGATGAGCCTCCAGGGCTCCCAGAACCAACTGGTAGCCCACAGAATGGCATCAGGCTGTGTGACCATGGTGGACACACAGTAGACATGGTGCACTGTGAAGGCAGCAGCAGATGTTGCCTAATTAAGATAAACCCCAGGGATTCTGGGAACCAAGAAGTCCTGTCCCCAGGGCCTAGTGATAAGCACCATAATTCTTCTAGGTCTCTCAGGAAGCAGAAAAATATGATGCTGGAAGCAGATAAGATGCAGTAAAAGCCTGGTTTTCACTGGAGCCAACATTAATAGACAGACAGCCCTGGGCAATGAAAGACAGTAGGGTCCAAATTCTATTATTGAAACCATAAGTGAGCATCTCAGGCCTGGAAGAAAAGGCTTTCAGAGGCTGGAATAAAAGGCCAGAAGTCCTGAGGGCAGACTTGGGCAGCAGCCAGACACATCTGATTATTTTAAGGGGTGAGGAGGAGCATTCACCAGGCAAATTAAAAAGCCAGGTGAGCACCAAAGCCTCAGGCCCAACCTGTTCTGCAGCATTAAGGCAGAGACCACAGCTCCTGACATGCTGGACCCCTGTAGCCAAAAGCATCAAGTCCTGCAGAACTTGTCCCAGGAAATATTTGCCAACAAAATCCCAGACTCTGTGGGAGCTGACCCCTAGCAGAAAAACAGAAACCCTGTTACTAAGCTCCGAGACCGTTAGGATCGATGCAAAACGGCCCCTCCCCTTCCTGAGAGCCCAATCAGAATATTGGGGATATAGCAGAAAATGCCAGAAGAAATCAAAACCAGCAAGAAGTTCAAATTCAAGATGGATCTGACATTATATTGATATTCAACTGGTATGCACCAGAGCAGCAAACTGGTGCTTAAAATACTGAAATGTCTCCCTAACAGTTGGTAAATAGCTCTGGCCTGAGTCCCTGAGCGTCCCTCAATGACCTCAGTTGCCTTGGTACCTCCACTGTGACTGCTTCTTCTTCCCACGATCCAGTAAAAGGGGCTTCTTAGGCAGCTTCTGGAGGCTGCTCCAGCATGGTGGCCAGTGTCCCCTCTGTTTGGTGGTGCCTGTGCATAGCTAGTGGGTGGCAGCGCAGGGACTCAAGCTCATATCTGGCTGACGTTCGGACCCAGGCTCTTAACCATGTTGCCATAGGGCCCGACGTGCAGAGAGATGGCAATAGAAGCTCCATAACAAAGCAGTTCACCTGACAGTCGGTTAACATATTGATCCCTTGCATGTTAAAATGCCTAATGCACTTGAGTGGGTACATTTGTGATAGCTTCCTAAATAGCTAAGAGGAAGTTATATTAGAGCCAAACATTTGCAGAGCCCCTGGAGCACCTCAAACACCCCCAAGTTCTGAGGAACCCAGTTTGAAGACCCTGAATTGGGCTAATGCAGGGTTGGTAAACTATGGTTCCTTGGGCCAAGTAGAGCCCACTACCTGTTTTTGTAAAAAACAAACAAACAAAAAACACCAAAAAACATTTTTATTGGAGTACAGCCATGCCTATTTGTTTATGTATAGGCTGCTTTCACACCACAACAGCAGAGGTGAATTATTTCAACAGAGACCATGCAGCTGAAAAGATCTATTTGACCCTTTACAGAAAAAAGTTTGCTGACCCCTGGGCTAAGGCTAACGTCCCCAGCCTGCCCTTCACTGGGAGAGACCAGCTCACGTCCACCTAAGCTCTCAGAGGCAGAGGCTGGCTCCACTGCCGAGGGGGCAGCACGTGGGGGACGTGCCCGTCTGTGGGCATCGTTGGGGCTAGAGTCTCACAGGTCCTAGCTAAGTACCTCAGTACTGTCATCTGAGGAATTAAGATTTTAGTTTTGGCTACTTTCATGTGACCCATGGCCCGCTGTAACTGGAAATGTGGTTGATGCACAGATTTGACTTGAGTGTGCCCTCCCAAGCTGATGGCTGAGGGGCAGGGAGCAGGACCCCGGTCTAGGGCTAAGCCCAGCTGCTGTCCACATCTGCTCAGGGTGGTTTGTGGTTCTTGACTTGTCACCGCCCTCATGGGGCCGCTTGGGAATGATAAATGCCGGTAGATGGATGGGCCTTAGCTAAGTAGGAATTTTGGATAAAGTGAAGTGCTCAGTGTTGAGTTCAGCGCTCAGACCTGACAGGTCATCCATGCGCTCTCTGTGGAAGCAAACACAAGCTCTTCACAAGGACGGTCCCAGTGAGGGCTTTTGCTGGCTCAGGAGTTGCTGATCAAGTGAGAGAGAAAACTCCGGTGAAAACTGGAACGGCGGTTTTCTTGTGCTGCGAGGTGTGGGCAAGAAACACACATACCCTCATAATGGAACTGTGAAGCAGGAGAAATCTGCAGAGTCAGAGATTTACCAAGGTTCCAGGATCCACAACAAGAATGACAAGTGTGGAAGCTGTCTTACCTACAGCCACGGTTGCTGTCGCTGTTCCATCATGATACTCTTCCTTGCTAAGCCTCAGAATCCTTCTCAACCCAGCATTCTAGACAGTCACTGCCAGTGGGTTGGAGTGGGCGTGAAAGATGAAACCCTATTTTGCCATCGCCATTGGATATTACTTTGGATGGGGCATGCAAAGCCCTGAATGCTTATTTTCTGATGTTTTAGTTCAACTCTGAGATTGCCAGGGTCTCATTCCAGTCGACAGCTTCTTAGGTGTGCCTGAGAAGCAGTGTCTGGATTTCACCGTCTTCAAGGAAAGTGCAAACACCCCTCTCACCAGTAGGTGGCAATGCAGTCCTGCACTCAGCTGCTTGTGGCGGTAGTTGTGGTTTTATTTACTGGTTACTTTTCTCTCCTTCCATAGTACTTGGTGCTGTGCTGGACTCTGGCAGGTAACTTAGCCAAAATGTACTTTAGTGCTTTGAAAATGTTTGTTAAATGTACCTGTCTGAAGAGCTAATTGATCTTATCAACAACCACTGTGGATGTGTGTGTGGACACACTCAGTGTGTGCCCCAGGATAAAAACCGCATTTTTTAAAATCAGTGGGTCAGATAGCTATGCTGACAGCGTGTGTGTGTGTGTGTGTGTGTGTGTGTGTGTGTGTGTACGTACATACAGGATGGTTATCTGTTGACTAAATGTCCTGGGCCCCACATAGGGATGGCCAGCCCGCTTTCTGGGACTAGCTCTGGCTATTGCTATCATCTCATGGGCATTTGTA